GGCCAAGCCTCAGCCCATCTGCTCAAAATGCTACAAGTCTTTTCCCGGGTTTTGCATTTTAAAATGCCCATCACCAAAACCCTCTCCTGGTCCTCCAAGATACGGGTAGCTATGTGTCCTAGAAAGCTAGGAATCACACTCCCGTCTACAGCCCCCCCAGGCACCGCACCCTTAACCACCCAAGAATCATTAACGACCCTCGACCATTTTCTGCTTGCCCCAGACACGGTGGACGCAGATGATGTGCCAGATCTACTCACAAACCTACTATCCCTACCCTTACGCACATCTACCCTATGCGTCTCGTACATGTCATCTAGCCTCTGACTGAATGGACCGTAATCATCATATGGTCCACTCTCATCGTCCACATCCTCATATGCCTCCTCCTCCTCCTCCTCATCATCTTCATCCTCATCTCGATGGTGAACCCGTTCTCTACGACTTGAGGCCGAAATACCACGGGATCTAAGATGTCTGGGCCCCGAGCTCTCCATCGAGTAGTTTCCAGACCTAATAAGGTCTAGATTCTTCCCTGCACCATGAAGAAAATGCGACACCTTCAAAAAATTAAAAAATGTATACACATTAAAAAAATTATAAGAAAAATAACTACCAAAAACCAAATCAAATGAACTAAAAAAATACTAGCAAACTAACTTGAAAAAGAAATTAACAGAACACTTAAAATAAATTACAGAATAAAATATACACAAACAAAGAAAAAAAAACCAACACATACAAAATTTATATAAACATAAAAGAAAAATAAAAAAAAATAACCTAAACGAAAATATATCAACTAAACAGAAAAACATACTAACAAATTGCAATAACAAATATAAATTTTTTTTTGTACAAAACAAACATACAAAGAAATGTAAAGGAAGTATAAACGTAAAAAAAAATACAACAAAATTGAAAAAAACTTAAAAAATCATAAAACACAAACAAAATTTTAATTTTAAAAAAAATTTACTGAAAAAAACAAAAAACAAAAATATAAAAAAATTATAACTTAAAAAAAAAAACAAAATATAAAAAAAACTGATTTTCAAAAAAAAAAAAAAAAAAACCAAAAAAAATTACTTAAAAAAACAAAAAACAAAAAAAAAATTCCGATTTCAAAAAAAAAATAAAAAAAAACAAACAAACAAAAAAAAATAAAAATAAAACAGGGGCGCGTGGCTGGGACGCCATTCCGGTGGTGGCGGCGCCTGGCTAGGACGCTACACCGGTGGTGGCGGCGCTAGATCCAGACGCCATGGTTGTGGTTCTAGCGTCTGATTCTGGCGCCACCGCCACCGCCGTGGCGTCCTCCCATGCGCCCCGCCTTGCTACGACGGTTTTTTATTTATTTGTTTTTTAAATGGAAAAAAACCTACCTTTCCACCTTTCCACCTCCTTCCCTTCGCCGCCGCCGCCGCTAATTCCTTGCCTTGCCGCCTCAACATTGCCGGATTTTGAATTTTTTTTTTTAAAAATACGTAGAATGAAAGTGGCACAGATTTTTTTTTTGGGTGATGAGAGAGTGTTTCTTTTTTTTTTGGTCAAGGGAAATATTGTCAATTCAATGGAAATTTGTGGGCTTTAGTTGGTAATTTGTAGGCGATGTTTAGCAATCCACTAAAACATGGATTTTTTTATCCTAACAAACCAAATCAAGTCGGGTCAAACTTAATTATATTCGAGTCAAAGGTGGGTCTAGGTATGATCAGGTACAACCGTATAAATCGAATTTGGGTCAAGTTAAATTCAGGCCGAGCTATATCGAGTTCTTGTGAGCTCGAAGTTGGATTTAATTAGGTTTTTTTGGGTCAAAATGGATTTAATGGACTTTGGAATCTGGTCATTTCGGATTCAGTTAGATCTGAATTCAAATCAATTCAGTTTCTATTAGATCTCAGTTTGAATCAATCATATGTAATTTTAAACTCATTATTGAACTATTTTCTAAACAAGTATATAAATTATCTTTCACTCCTATCAACCTAGAGGTGATCAAAGTTAGCTCGGCCAGATTTTGGGCAGAATTTTTCTATTTTTGGGCGGGTTTGGGAATGCGTTTTTATGCATATTTAGTTGATTTTTTAGGCCCGGCCCGAGCATTTTGGACGGGTTTGGGCACAATAACTCCGGCCCGGCCCGCCTAATGATCACCTCTATATCAACCCTATTTAACAACTGTTTTAGAATTTCTCTCTTCTACTAACAATTATATATAACTATAATTTATATTTAAAATCTCTTTGGTCTCCACTATAGTCAATAAGTGAATTAACTAATAAGTTTTGGGTCGAGTTTAACGGGGTCGTGGGGTAGTTTTGGATCGGGTTGAATAAAGGTCGGGTAAAATGAGGTATTTCTCATGTATAAATGGTTTCGGGTATATTTCGTTTCGGGTTAAATTGAATTCAAGTCTTGAGTTATCAGGTTTTATTGGTTTCGGATAAACAATGATTCGATACCAAGTTGGGTTTGGATCATAAATTACCGGGTAAAATCGATTTTGAGTTAAGTTCGGGTTGATTCCAAATCGGATTTGGATGAATTTTTTTTCGGTTCAACCAGTTCGAAAACAGTTCGATTTCAGGAAAACCTTTTGTATCGGGTAAGTTTTTGACACCCCTACTTAATACGGGTTAAAGTTGTAAAGGCTAGATGTGTCAAAACCGAACCAAATTGAACAAAACCATCCGTTTTGAACTGCAACCGATCTGATTTGATCCGAGAAACTCAATACCCACACTCGATATGTAACCGAACTGAACTCAATTCGAATTCGAATTTGACCCGATTTGAACTTAACCCGACTTGAACTCAACCCGAAACTGATTTGACCAGAATTGAACTCAAATCGAACCGGTTTGACCCGACCTGAACTCAATCCAACCGAAATTGACCCGACAAACACCCGATTCTATTCGATTTGTATTTAATCCCAACTTATATTAACCCAACCTGATTTTAACACGACCCGGTTTTGACTTGACATGATTTAAAATTAACCATAATTTTAAACCTAACCTAGTATTTACCTTTTTTTTTTTTTTTTTACTTAAACCTATATTAATGACACGATATGAAAAATGACGCATGAATAACATGATATCGACTTGATAACAAGATAAAAAAAAAACTCAATAATTACTCTAGCTTTAAAAATGTACTTATTTGAATATTAAATTTGGCCAACTCAACCAAAACTCAGCCAAACACGAAAAGTATCTTAATCAAAATTGACCAAATACTAAATCAGCTTTAGTAAACAAACCAAACTTAATAGGACCGAAATCAATCGAATTGAAACCAACTCGAACAAAGTCGTCTAACCCGAGATTAACCCTATCAAACCTGTTTTGAATTCGATCCGATTTTATCCGAACCGAATATGAACCGATCTGAAGTTGACCTGATCCAAACCCGATCTGGACTCGACAGATCTTGACCCGAATTTGACTAGACCCGGAAGTGACCCCATCTGACCCGGGTTAAAAGGGTAATTTTGAACCGAATATATCCGACTTGAATAAACCGAACTGAATAGACCCAACCCAAACTCCATCCGGTTACCTGAATTCGATACCTCTAATAAAGACAGGGCCGTAGCTGACCCAGGTCAACCGGGGCCCATGGATTTAGAGGGCCCAATTTCTCTTACTCCCTCCGTGTTTTAATAAGTGTTACACTTACCAAATTCGGCCGTATTTTTTTTTTGCCCAAAAAACTACATTTAAATATGATATCTATCTTCTCTCATTGTCCCCACCTAAACATTTAAATATGATAGAGGTGATCAACTTATATTTAAATATGAAACATTTAATTATATTTTTCCTCTCACAATTACTTCTCAATAGTGGTGATCAACTTTGGCCCAGCCCGATCCGGTCTGAAAATAGGGCGGGTTTGAGCAAGCCTAAAAAATGCATTTTTAGTTAAAAATCCAAACCCGGCTAGAAAAGCCCGAAAAGCCCATTTTAGCCCGAAAAACTAGTTGTTATTACCTACACCCCATTGTAGGTAGTAATATCTACACGCCAACAATACTATACCTTCCCTACAAGTAATTGACATCAAGATTGTAAGGTTTCTTGCATAAATTCAAGAAAGCCTAATGCTACCAAATAATGACGATCATTGATACTTACAACAGTGTGTAACCCTGGCTCTACAGACTCAAACAAGAAGCTGGGTGCTTCATGATCATTTTCGTTTACTAGACATCGATATGCAACTATGCAAGCACGGGTGTCAACTGATCAGAGAAAATGCACTGCGATAATGGAACCAAGTTTCCTCTTCTAGACTTTTCCACAAACTTAGCAGACTGGTCCACTATATTCATGACATTAATATATCAGCAAAGCTTGAGTAACATGCTTGTAAACAAGAAATTAAAAACTCAGTATGACAAATTAAACTAGTTTGGCTATTTAAAAGGTGATACAGTGTTACCCTGTGAAGGAGAGGAAAGAACTGAAAACACTACAAACTGTGTAGAATGAACAGACGGATTGACAGCATTGAGCTGCAAGACTGAAAAGACGACGACAGATTTCGACGACGGCAAGTAGACGGCACAAGAGGCTGAGTAATTGCAACAGCCATTTTCAAAGATGATCAGCTGAATTTCATTAAAGGGCAGCTCACTAGGATATTCCCAACTTCTGCACAAGAATTTTAGTCCCAATTGTCTTGTCACTCATCTGTTAAAAGATGTTGCTTCCATGAGCTTTAAATGCTGAAGCATGGACTTGTTTACTGAGTAGTTCTGGACTTAAATTTCATGTGGTTATTTGTTGGCATTAAACACCTCTGTTTTCACATATTTTTATCTTACAAAATGCAGTAATTTTTCCTTTTTACTGGCATAAAAAGCCTCCACGAACCATTGGTCAAACAACAGCTTGTCAACTTCTATTTAATTGCGGAGTAATTCACAAGGTAGGCGTGCCCTAGAGAACAATTTTATTTTTGGTACAAAAGAAAGCAAGCAATAGAATTAAATGTTCAAGCAAAGCATGAACAGATGACATTGGAGTATATAACCCCGTGAGTTACACAATAAAGAAATAGGATCAATACTCAATAATCTTGAGATACAGAGTACAATATTCGATAATTACATCTTATCCACAAAAGTGAAGCATCCTATGTAAATGCATGTCTTCCACAAGAAAGAGGATGGAGTATCCAGACAAAGAAAGAAGAGTAAATATGCGGCAATATCGGCAAGGCAATTGGCAACCTTATCAAGGTTCTGAAACAACTCTGGAAGATGAGCGTTAGTGAGCTTGGTCCTCTTGCTAATTTCGTGCTTCTTCTTCTTAGGTTTATTTTTGGAGGAAACGCCTTGAATCTGTGCTGCAGCCCTTCTCTGGGCAGTGTTCGTAAGAGGCTTGATTCCAGTTTTCTGAAGTTCTTTCTCAACATCAAGAAAATCGCGAGGCAATTCAATGCTCCGGAAGAATTGTTTCAGATCATCATCTACCTTAAAAGAAACTCGGGGATCATCTGGATATACTATATCTTCCTGTGAATCAAAGTTTGAGAGCAGCCAAACTTTTCGATCGGCCTTCAAGGCCTATGAAGAAAATACACTATCAGCCAGGTTTTCCAGCAGTAAAATAAGGTTCAAAATTTTGAAATCAATGACAGACTAACAGTAAAACAAGGTTGAAATTCTATTTTTTTAACCAATAAATGTGATCCATCTTTTGCAATCCATTAAGCTAAGAATCACTATTGACTGAATTCCACCATGAACAGCTTCAACAAACTGAATAATATTTTGCATTAATGGAGAAAGAACTTGGGAAAAGCAGAAAATCAACAGGAACTAAGGAGGATGCTTTCAAAATTTAAAGGAAAATGATTCAAAGCAAAACTACCAAAATGCTAACTTTAGTTGACATAACACATGAGAGATGACCAGTAAAAATAACAGGAAAGTGGTTCATTACCCCCTGAACCTGGTATATTGCCACCTTAAGTTAATTCAAGTGCAACATAACCTCGTTGAAGTATAAAGGTACCCAATTGCCCCCTTAACTTATTCACTAATGCAAATTAGTCCTAACAAAACTTTCTATTAATTAGTATTTCATAAGGCATGAGATAACCAAATGTAATAGGGTTCCTACAGCTTGGGCTTACATGTAGAGCGATGAGATACTCAAAATTATCCACTGCCTCTGGAAAAGTTATTTCCAAGAGCAGGGCAATGAGGAGTCGAATTACGCAAAGGCTCATATGAGTTTGTTGTGTCTAGGGATGAACCATGGATGTACCTTATCAGATTTGAGGCTGAGGCAAAAGGGTCCAAGTACTATATAGAAGCAATAAATCTCACTCACCATAACAATAAAAGATTAAAAGTTCCCAAAATGATTTGGGTTCAGCTAATATGGATCTTCAAAAGGTACCATCCGCAAAAAACGGAGCAAAGAAAGATAAGTGATAAAATGAAAGTCGGCGAAACCGATAAAAAATATAGTGATTTAAAAAAAAAAAAAAAAAAAAAGAGAGAGAGAGAGAGAGAAAGCGGTGCAAAGTGAAAACCCAACAAGAGGACATAAAATATTAAATTTGACAAAGTTTTATAAAAAGGCTAAGGAGAGATTAAGAGAGGAAAAACATGCAAGTAAAATCACTAGAAAAAAGTCGAAAACCATAACAAAGGAAAAATATATACTTCGTATATAATTTGCAAAACACAATGAGTTCAGTTGCAAGGAGTATATATACATATATAAAGTCATGACATGTCCTCGGTGTACTTTCTCTAAAACACTCCACCCTATCCAACACCATATTTTCCTCAACCCCCGAAAGACTCATATCACTTTCGTCACCCTCCAAGTTTTCTTAATCTTCCACTTAACACTTACGAAAATAAAACAAAAACTGCAGTAAAAATAAATCAGATAACCCACCATTTACCGACTACGTCATCTTTTGACACTTCTTTTCTTCCACACCATTTTCTGCAATTTCCAGAACCTCTACCCCAAAATGCCAATTTTTTCATATTTATTCTCCTCTCTACAAACTCACCTCCCTCATTCCCAAACTGTAACCACCACCCTAATTTCCAACTACCGATTACATGCCCGCCCCAACCACCACCACCTGAATCATGTCCTTAGCTGTGTGGAGTTAACATCATACAAATCCAACGATCAGCAATCAACTAGCCAACTCCTCACAAAAAAACTAGTCTCCCTGACTTTTTCCACACCATCATCATCAATTAGTAATCATCTCCAATTACTGTCCACTTCCTCAGCATCAAGAACATCTTTCCAAGATTCTCCATACTCCAAAATCTTCTCGCAATATTGGGGAACTTTTTGGATTGATGGGAGATTATAGGGAAAAGAAGGTTAAGCAGGAAGTGGAATTCGTTACCTCAATCAACCAGCACAGAGTTATAATTTCATTCCTTTTACAAGTTCCTTGGCAGCACTCTTCATTATTTAATTTTATCAACTCCCTTTTCTTATGAAAGAAAAGAAATTACAATGGTAAAAGTACATATATGAAGCCTAATACCAACAAATGAGAAATAATTAAAATATATACATAATAAGACTAGTAACTGTCTACCTAGTGAAAAATTACAAGTGCCAATTTTGGGTGGATTTATTGCCATAAATCATGTAGAAACCATGCCATGCATCATATATAATATAGGGTAATTGACCTCAATTAAATGAGAATAAGGGAGTTTATTTTCCCTGTGAACCGACTTTGAGAAAAATTGCCAACGAGTAAACGTCAGATATTATGGTAGCAAATCCACTCTTCACCATTAAATCGTTGATAAAGATAAACTATATGCGTATGTCACAGAGAGGACATATATATATATATATAAGAATCCACTGGCAAATTGAAACTACTATTCCAATGATGCTGAAGAAAGGCTAGGAAGGAAAGGTTGAGAAGAAAAATTAGTTACCTGCAAGTCCTCCATCACATTTATATAAGAATCCTTTAAGTCAATGATTGGCATGCCTTCCGGATATCTCCGTATTAAGACAAGCAATTGGTCCTTGTTCTTAACTTCATGCTTTGACTGTAAGGATAAGGGAACTCAAACAATTTAATTGGTAGGAGAATAAATGGTTTCACTATCAAACCCGATGAGCTGATAAATAAAAATCAACCACTGAGGCCTACCTTGTAAGAGAAACACTGCCCATCATAGCTCACTTTTGGGTTGTTCTTCAAACTTTCAAACACAGTTTTGTTTGCATAAACATCAACATGGCATACTTGATTGATTTGCTCAGGAGTTAAGGCTTCCCTCCGCTGCAACCAACCCAAAGACATTAAGCAGAATATCCAGCCAACATGTAATGCAAGATTATTTCACTACTTATGTTCTTGTCTTTGCTTAAACACATTCAAGGTTAACAAAATACTATCATCTATTAGTTAATAACCTGACAGGTACAAGTGTAACACAACAGCTTGCATACCCAGCGTACCTCTAGAAGCAGATCAATGACACGCTTTATTTGAGCTCCAGCAGGAGCCTTCCTTATGCTATTAATGATCTGAAGCCTCTCGGTATCATTTGAAAATTTGACAGGAGGCCTTGCATTTATAGATGGTGAGGCAGTTGGCAAAGTTGATTTCTGTACATTAGAGTTATGCTTTGGTGGATTGGAGGACTTGGTTGAAGCTTGTTTTTCAGAAGCAATACTCGAAAGAGTTGACTGACACTTCTCTTGCTGTTTCCGAAACCTTGCTAAATTTTCTTGGAGTGACATCTATCACAACAATGGCATGAAGGAAAACCAAACAAACGTAGTGATCAATGAAAAAGATCAAAAGCATAGCAAACAAGAACACTGACAAATCCATCCGAACATAGAAGGGCCGCAGTTTGATCCTCCAATGTATCAAAAACTAATAATACTCGCATACATATGGTTATGCATTGATTTACATATGCTAACTATTAGCTAACAAGCACATAATCTGATAACAAAACCTTGTTTCCTACAGCAAAAAGGAGAATACTATACAAATTCATCACTTTTTTCATGTAACAACTGACAAACTTTTAATGGGACAAACGGGAGGGGAATTAAAACCGGAAAAAGTTTCGAATTTTATTTGTATAATTAGTTTCCACTATACACATGATTTGTAATTCATCTTATTGGGTACAATTAAAGGAAGTAATAGCCCTATACTTTCCCATCAAGAGGGCAAATTTCATTGTTCCCAGGCCCGTCTCTGATTTCATAGTTGAATCCTAACATTAAAGTGTTGTGCAATACATTAGCAACCAAATTTGATTCAATTATCTCATAATTTTAGGGATATTTGATTCAATTATCTCATAATTTTAGGGATATTTGATGTGATGATAACAAATACAAACAACTTACGTCAGAAGCTGCTTCAATGGGGGATACAAGAACGGCAATTGCGCTTCAATAGAGCAATTCAATGGGTTCAATGGAGCAATTCAATGGGTTGGACGCCTTGGATACTTATTACGGATATTTAAGGGTTTAGAGTAAACCTGTTTTAAAAAGTACGGAGTATTAGTTTATCTTTACAATTTCGTTTCTCAAATACTATCTTCACACACCAAATCTTTAATAATTTGTTTGTTGTTATGAAATATTGTCTGGATATCCATTATCATCCTTTTATCATCTTGAAATATTCTAGATTTAGGGTTTATTATTATCTAAACAAACCCTTGTTATATTATATGTATATATATCCCCCACTCTATGGAATAAGACAGACTGATTTATTCTCTCCCCAATTTCTCTCATATCTCTCTTTATTTTCTCTTCCATATTTAACACGTTATCAACACCATTGTCTAACCATCGGAAAATTTACGAGATCAATCTTTGGAGACGTGATTAATTGCTACTGCTTGAAAAGTGAAGAAATAAGATAATTAATCAATTATTACCAGGGTTAGATATCAATCCTCACCGAGAGTAAATATGGGGGTGTAACCATGTAAGTCCTTAATTTGCTTGTTGATATGCCAATTTGCTGTTGACAAACCATGACTGATGCATAATTTATTGTTTTATTAAATTGACTAAATAGCTTGTTGTACATATAATTTCATGATTATTATACTTGAGTATTTCTATTGTATTAATTGATTCTTATTCTCAACATATTGAGATTAATTATATTGATTATATATGACTAGAGTAGTTAATTCTCATATATTTTGATTTAACCTCTATTAAGGAAATTAGTATACTGTTGTTAATGATTAATGGTTATCATTGATACTCTTTTATAATAAACCACTATATAAGCTTTATTAGATGATGGTTGATACATTGTACAAGGATTTAATGACTCTGTTTTTTTTTTTTTTTTTTACTTCGAAAACGTAAGTAGTTAAATCTCATATATTTTGATTTAACCTCTATTAAGCCTCTTGTTTATTAGAGATAAGAATTGCTAAAGTCAACCGTACTTTATATTTAGCTTGTTATGCAAAAATATTATAGAATTATATTGTTAAGATTAAGTAAAGGCTTCTTTTTATGTGAGGCAATACTCCTAAACATTAGTTCAACCCAAAGCCCAAGATAATGACTAGGAAATCAATTCTAATTTGCATCCTTAATATTGACCAACTATCTATTATTACTATGTATTGATTTATGATAATGATGCGGGAGCATTCAAGGTTTCCTTTCTTGGTCCGTTTCTTTAATGTTTCTTAAATTAGATTTTGGCTTACAAGTTTTTACCTTTCACTTGAAAGGGTTTTTCTTGTTTTAAGCGTTAGGATTTCTATTTTGATTAGGAATTATTTTGGTCTAGTAAGTTCCTATTTGAATTAGGACTTGTCTTTAGCAAAAGAGAGTTCCTATTTGAATTAGGACTTGTTTTTAGCAAAGTAAGTTCCTAAGTGGATTAGGACTTGACTTTGGTTTTTAGGCATGTCTAGGAGTTTTAGGAGGATTGAATAACCTAATCTAAGTTGAATTAAACTTAGTTAGTTTAGTCATATCCGAATTAGGAACTTGGGGATCAAGTTTCGGTTTTCTTAGGTTTTCTAGGTCAAAAGGGATTCTAATTCAATTAGGATTAGTCTTCTAATTTGATTAGGTTTAGGATTAGTTTTGAGTCTATAAATAAAGGTTGTAAACTTCGAATTATACAAGTTTGTTTTGTTGATTAAAGCTTTATTGCTTGTTAATTTGGAACGTTTCTTTCCAAGTTTTCTTTGTATTTGACGAGTGAAGTTAAGCATAAAAACCCTTAGATTAGGCGAGTGAAAGCTGATTTAAGAGAGGTTAGATTAATTAGTGAGTGAAGCTAATTAAAACTATCCTCAAAAAAACCCCTAAATCACGAGATTAAGGTGAGTGAAGGCTTGAAATCAGATTTAGAACCCTTAGGCGAAAACAAACGAGTGAAGCTTGTTTAAACCTAAGACCAAACGAATCAAGAAACGCATCAGATAAACATAAAGCTAATTGCTCAACTAGTCAAGTGGTTAGACTTCCTATTTTCTTAGTTTGTTGGGTAGCTACATATAGATAGATATAACTTGTATATATCTCTAATATCTAGCACTGACTTTGTAAATCATCAGAGTTTGTTATTCTTCCTTAGGTTTCGTTATACTCTTATAAGCCTAGCTATTTAAGGCCACATACTTATTAATAGAATAATTCAATTATACTCTTATACTATGTTCATCTACAATTTTAATTGCTAATCTTTATTGGTTTTATTAAGGAATTAAATTGCATGATACCTAATACTAGTCATACGCGTATCTGTATTATTGTATTTATGACTCTAATTCCATGATATTTGTACATCGATGAAAAATGGGAAAACTAGTAATTTTGAGAATAACTAATGGCTACATCAAGATTAATTATGTTGTATTTATGTAAGCATGTATGTATGCATATGAAGTTCTATAGCAATTTTGGCCAACCTTAACATCATATATATATGAAACGGTCTTGGAATACATTGTATTGGGTTATTTTTATTATTGCAAAATACAACTATGTTAGTATATATATATGTATGTACAAATACATATATATATACATAAACATATATAATGTGTCTTGTGTCCATGCAATTGTTTGTTATGTAATGTGTATTTGTGAACTAGGATCAATTTAGTCTGTGGCAATACTATATAAGAAGTTGACAATGCATGGCTCAGTTTTATATATAGTCCAGTGATCTTATTAATTGATTAATGCATGCCTTCAATTTGACCCTTCTAATTTTGCTTATATGACTCGCATTAAACTAAAGCAAACAGACGAAAAATGTCAATAATTATGTTTAATTGTGTATTACTAATCTTGTTATGAGTTTTTAATTTTTGCAAGCCTTCCTTCTGTACATGTAACTAACCCTTATTTTTTATTGAATAAGTAACAAATTTTTCAAGATGCCGTAATGATTTATGATAGAAAAAGAGTATGCTATCTCTTTGATAGATCTTTTGTTATGTATTGTTTATATGTTTGGTTTTATCTCTGATGATCAATATCTAAGTGCTCATATAGTCCTTTGTGATGGCTCTTTCTCATTAGTTCGATATTATATATGATATTAAACTATAGAGTTGCATAACTAGACCTAAATGCATAAGGAAAGCTATCATACAAATATGTATATATTTTATCACACCCTAGTAATGTAACAGGGGAAGGAAAAGAGCATGTGAGGCATATGATTGGCTTGTATAAACTATCACAAAGTAATAAAAATATAGGTTAAAATGGTTGATTAATTCAAACCTAAATATACTCATTCAATTCCCTGAAGTGAATGTGAGATTGATTGATGGTAAGGATACAATTATCTAAGCATGTTATTGCTAAAAGGAACACGTTACTTGATACATGACATTGCCAATAGAATTTATGGCTTAAAAGGTGTAGAGATTTTAAAAGTTGTTGGATTGATTCCATACCCCCATATGCAAGTATTAGGGGAAGATAGTAATTATTTCATTATTTTATGTAATCCTTGCACATAAATAATAAAAAATATATTGATGGTCAGTTTGGTACACACATTAACTTAAATATTAACGTTTTATTTAATAAAAGTGGCCACATGTTAATTAATATATTTCAAAATGATACCATCCTGAAGATGGATATGAATAGATGTCATTAGCTATATACCAAATGTAAATGCTCTAATTAAAACTAATGTCCCAGAAGGACAACAAACATCAATTTCTAATGAACCTAAAGCATGCTGAAGCGTGGTATTTCAATAGGTTCCAAAATAAAATATACGAATCTTGAATCAGGAAAAGAGCAATTATGACAATAGCAAATTTGAGGAAGTAATGCATTTTGATAGATCTTTATAAGAGATTATATTTAGTAAAATGGATATGTACCATGATTATATAGAGTACTCTAGAAGAGTATAGAATTATCCAACAAGCTTAACATGTATCAAGATTATAGTCAAAGCTCCAGCAGAGTATAAAATCTTGGATCAAGTATTAGTTGATTGTCTTGCTAATTATATAAAGAAACACATGTTGGTGTTCTAATATCACATCATATTATGTCTCATAAATTGATCACCAGTGTTGGAAAACTAACCACGATATAAATTTAGATAAACGATTGGATGTGATGATTAAATTAGGCCATCCGGGTTCAATAAATACCCGTTATGGAAACCTGAAGTTTCATTTGATAATGTGCTGACACTCTCTCAATGTTAGATATATGAAATGAATTGAATGACAAGACATAACATTGAGATTGAACTATATTT